CCTGGGCCCCCAGTACTCTGTTGTGTCTGCATCTCTTTCTTGCTGTAAGCTTAGTTAAGGTTAAATTAGGGTCGCGGCTCACACCTCTGAGGGCGTGTGTCACCCTGGTGCCCACTACCAAGACGCCCATGGCCCCGCAGCCCGCCGGCCACCTCCCCTTCCCGTTGCCCCCCCCTGTGGACAGGAAATAAGTGCCACGGTTCACATTCCAAACGTGTGAAATGACAGAGGCAGCACCCTCCCCCCCCCCCCCCCCCCCCGCCCCACCCTCCCCTTCGGCTAACCTCAGTTTTACAGTCAGATTTCTAGGTTTGTTTTAGTTTAGTTTTGACTGATGCTTTGTTTTGTTCTCTGTATTCCAGTATGAGTGAAATCATTCCTGTTTGTCTTCTGGCTCATTCACTTAGCATAATTCCCATTTAGTTCATTTAGCATAATTCCCTCCAGTTGTAAGTGGCGAGATTTTATCTTTTTTAATAGCTGAGCTGTTTCCACTGGGTGGCTGTATCACATTCTCCCCCCCCCCCCCCCCCCCGCCCCAAGCCTCTCACCTGTCCATTAGGTTGTTCCCTCAGCGCCACGGTGGAAAGGAGGGCGGCAATGAACATCGCTTCCGTGTGTCCTTGAAATTAGTGTTTCTGGGCCCTCCCTGGTGGCGCAGTGGGCTAAAGCACGGCATCATGAAGCTGTACGCAGCCCCTGCAGCCCGAGTTCCATCCCCGGCCAGGGAGCCACCCCCAGGGCAAGGCAGAGCTCTCCTGTCTCCCCGCTGCTCCCCTCGGCAGTGTGCTTCGACGATCCGCCTGTTCTGCGCCCCGCTCTGTCTCTGCTGGATCCTTTCACCGCCTTGCAACTCTGGCCTGTGCCCCAGCTCTGTAAGCACAAATAAATCTTTAAAATAAAAGGAATTAGCGTTTCTTTCCAAACCAGTGTTTCCTATGGTAGAATTTATCTCTTCACGCCTGGAGCAGACGCCCCCTGCTTCCTGAGGGAAGCTCCCTGTCCCTCCTCGCCGGCCCTTGCTGCCGCTTGCTGAGACGCCCTTCTGGCGGGCCTGGGGTGGCCGGCACCTCCCGGTTCCATCGGGGACAGAGACCATTTCTCTCCCGCCTGCTGGCCGCCGGATGTCCTCTTTGAAAAATCACTGATTTAGAGCCTCTGCCCATTTTCTGACTGGATTCTTTGTTTCTTCTTGTTGAGTTGTATGAGTTCTTTGTGGTAGGTCTTGGATGTTAACTCCTGGTTGGCTGTGCAATGCACGGCTACTCTCTGGCTCAGAGAGGTGCATTTTCGTTTCAGTAGTAGTTTCTTTGCTGGGAGGGGGCACTTTAGTTTTGCGCACCCCCTTCATTCTTTTGGCTTCTGCTGCCCTTGCTACCGGGAGCCAAGTCCCTCGGCCCCCCTGTGCATGGTGGCGCCTGCCTGCCTTTTCCTGTGTGTCTCTGGTGGCCCTGGATCTCGCATGCAGGTCTTTCCTCCGTTTTGAGGAAGTTTGGGTGCATGTTAGCATCGGGCAGTGGCCCGGGGGCCGTTTGCGCTCTTCCGCACCCCGAGTTCCCCCAACTACATTTGTTAATGAAACTTTCCTCTCTCCACCGCACACACTTGGCTCCTTTGTCATGAACTAGGCCACGCAAGTGTGAGTTTATTTCTGGGTTCTCAACTACTCCCTGCTTTGACCCTAGGCGCGTGCTGCTCCCCGCCCCCCCCCCCCCGGCAGACAGACAGACTGTCTCGACTACTGCAACTCCTTTCATGGGGGCGACTTTGAATTTATATAGTGCTGGGGTGGCCGTTTCCACAATGCCGTTTCTTCCAGCCCATGCACAAGAGCTGTCTTTCTATTTCCTTGTTAAGAATGTGGCTTCTGTGCCCAGGAAAGGCAGGCCTCGAGGCCTGAGACAGCCGTTTGTGCAGAGAGCGGTGGGGCGAGAGGAAATGCCAAGGTGGGAACTTCTCTATTTTACTTTTAGGTATTTATACATGAGCCAACCTCGGAGACGGAACATCTTACTCATGTTCCAGAAAATGGTCATGAATCTCTATTTTGATTTTTATTGTCTGACCAGGTTTCTTTTTTCTTGCTTTCTGTTTTTCAGTCTCAACAAATATTGTGGTGGTGAAAATTCCAGCTCTTAAAGCTAAACAGTCAAGGTATAATTATTCAGCGAGGGCGCTGGCAGGCCTGGGCTGCAGTCAGTGACGGTCCCTGCCACTGCGGTTTGTTTCTGAGTAGCCTGTTTTGGGGGGATTTCGAGTCCCGAAGCGCCATTTCGTCGTCCTGTACGAAGGGACCCGGGTTCAGACATCTGAGAATGATTGTCCTCTGTGCACGTAGAATCCTCTTCCTGCAGGCCCTGCTGTGGGAGGTCCTTGGGAGCGACGTCTTGTTCATTTCTTTAGCTATTTCATTGTCTCTGGATCTTAGTGTAGCGTCTGGACCATAGTAGATTCTGAGTGACAACTTAATGAATGTTTCCGGTTACTGCTTGAAGTGGCTTGTTCTAAGCTTCACCAGGTGGCTTACGAAGTCATTAACATCACGGCCACCTAGGCTCTCTCCAGGTTTCTCTAAATATTTATGATGCACCTTATGTTAGTCGTCCGGAGCATCCAAGACCCAAGACGCTCATGGCCGGCTGTGGGTGGCGCAGTTTCGATCTTCTTGGTAACACGGGGATGCCATGACTGGCGAGGTGGAGGCTCAGGAAACGAAGAAGGATACTAACGTTGCCAAACAGTTACTGGGGGAAGAGACTCCGGGGTGAACTTCCCTGCGTGTGTGGCCCCAGAAGCCGAAAAGGCAAAAGCTGGTTAAAGCTCAGGGGAGCCCCAGATCAGGGCGGGGGTGGGTCTCGCCCAGTTTTAGCGTCTGAGGACATGACTGACACGTGTTCTGTTCTCTCTGCAGGCCTGCAGTGTCGTGATGGCTACGAGCCCTGTGTGAATGAAGGCGTGTGTGTCACCTACCACAATGGCACCGGCTACTGCAGGTGAGCACAGCTGCTGCTTGTTGTCCTCTGTATGTGCCACTTCCCCTCACTGGAGCACCGGGTGAAACTTGGTTCTACTATTCTGTGAAACACTACTGGTTCTCTAGTTTTTCTGGTGTAGTTTTTGGGGGTTGGAGTGGAGGGACACGGATGTCAGATCAACCGTTCGTAAGACCTATCTTACCGTTACCTTTTTGTTATGGGGAACTTTTCAGTGAGTGAGTAGCTAAATATGCTGAATGTGTGTATATACATATACACATATACGTATACATATGTGTGCGTGTCTTGCATTTTTCAGTTGATGGCAAAGCCTTGGTGCCACCCCTCATGATGTCTGCTGTGATCTTTAAGTGAAATCAAATAAAGAATTGATTTTAGTTGTCTTGTAGAAGAGAAAATATTGTCACGTGAGACATTTTTTTCCTAGTGTAAACAAATCAACTCTGAAAGACTGAGCACGGAAGACGCTCAAGCACATGGGGGAGAGGGGTGGGGAGCAGGGGTGTGCGGTCAGGAGCGCACACGGATCAGGAGCGCGAGGCCGAGGTCACGGCCCCAGGACATCGCCGTCCCCCTCAGCTGGGCTGGCCACGCTTGATGGAGGAGCTTCGCCAGGTTCCTACGGGTCTTTTTTTTTTTTTTTTTCTTTTCTATCTATTGAAAACCTCTGCGATATCTGGTCTAGCTGTATCGTGTAAATACGACTTCATAATGTTTGTCTTCTTTGATAATATCACGGGGCCCATTCCGCCCCCTTTGTTTTGCATAGAGGTATTTGCTTGATAAGCATGTGGAGTGGTTTTCCCCCATGTTTTTGTCTCTTCTCTGGACATTTAGCTTTACAACGTACAGAGAAGAACGGCTTCCTTTTTCCTAATGAAGGGCATGCTGACACCAGGATCTAAGTTCTTTAATGACACAAACAGGAATTTTTCTAAGTCAGAAAAAATGTTCTTCACCAAAGTGAAAATATTTTCCGCTGTGATGATAGTGGAGTTGGACAGCGGGCTCTTTGGGTCGGAGTAACGAGAACTCTGCAGATGAAGTGTTTCATGCTCCTGACTGTGGTCCCGCTCACCCAGTGTTTTTAGCTGGGAGAAGAAAAAAACGAGCCGCATTCTCCTCTGAGAATGGAGACCTGGCTGGAGATAATCAGGGAAGGAACCTAATACCTCAGAACTGGCCACTGCAGTCTGGTTTCGTCCCTTTCTAGCAGCTGGTGTCTTAGCTACCAGATTGCTTTATTCTGTTACGCAGCTCTTGCATTAACCCCTTACACCACCGCCGTTCGTTGGCGTGTTTATTTCTCTCACCTGTGAAGTTCTGCTCTCAGCATTTTTGTATGGTTAACGCCTCCGCCGTGCCTGTTACGCAGCCGGCAGTAAACAGTGACGCGTGGCCAAGAGCTCAGTAGATACCATCACTCGCGTGTTTTTTAATCTGCGTATCCAGTGTATGGAATCACAGGACATTGGTCCGCTCTTCTGAGTGTCCTGTTTGCTTCGTGAAGCTGCCAGGACAGTCGGAAACTATACAGAGAGTAAGTTTCTTGTTGTTTGGAGACAATTCAGCTTATGGAGGGAGATTTTCTGCTTCCTAAATATCTGTCCTTGACATGGGGAGAGGGTCTCTAGAGGAGACCAATCCGAGCGCTTACCAATCAGGGTGACCCTAGATAGAAAACCGATTTGTGGGCTGCTGGTCTCAAAGTTGCAACAAAGGAGGGGAGGACAGAGTCGCCCCGGTTTCTGGAAGAAGCACTTTGTGATGGATGAAGAGGGAGCTGCCTGGAGCCTGTCCTGGATGCTTTGTGGGTGGGATGGGGTCCTTCTGGATACAGTTCTGGTCGGGGCAGCCCGCAGCTGTGTTGTGAGGAAGCAAGTCCCTTGAGAAAGGGAGCAGAGGGAAATGGGCAGCACCTTACTCTTGGGAGACCACCGTGAGCGACAAAACTGGTGAGGCGCGGGGTCCTCTACCTCAGCGCAGGCAGCGCGAGCGTCCTCGGGAGAGGCGGTGCTGGCCCGTGTTCTGGGGGGCAGGGACAGCTGCGCTGTCGACCCCACGGGGTGCCAGGCGATGTCCTAGGCAAAGACACAACCGCGTAGGCTGCTCTGTGTCTCTACACCAACTTCGCCTTTTCCCTGGGGAAAGGAGGTAACACGGCGTGCGCAGTAAATACCGTTTTCGAAAATGGTAAATGAATATTAGAACACTCTCGAAGGCTTATAAAAATGACATCAGACACGCGGGGCATGTGATTATCTTTTTATTCATGAGGCTGCTTAGTGGATTAAGAAAAGAAAGTTGAAGCCAAATTCCTTAGTGGGAGGGGGCTGTGGGAATGAGAAAATGGTTTAAAGTGAAGGTGTCTGTCTAAGGGGCAGAATGTTACTGACTCAGCTAAAATATAATGATTGTTTATGGAAATTACAGAAATCCTTGATAAGATCGCATTGACAGAAGAGGCTAAGCGCTGTTAAATGTAAGTTTTGTCCACAACTCAGCTGCCTATTCTCACTGTTAGGAGCCTGAGCCCTCACTCTGTCGGCCTGGGATTAGACTGGGGGGCAGAGAAGGGGAACCTGTGTAATCTTGCATAAAACTCAATGACTGCTCCTACAGAGTCGTCGTCAGATCTTAATAAAGCCCTCTCACTCCAGAGAGATAAGACATTTTATTCTCTCCCTTGTCCTACTGGGAGGTGTAAATATATAATTAAGTTTGGATGTCATTAATCACTTTCAAGTTGTTTGTCTCAGGCTTTCAGGCATAACCACTCCAAATCCCGAATTGATTAAAGATCGCGGGCAGCTCCAGCTCACGGAATGCTTGGGTGGGTGAGGTTATGATTCGCGAAATTCAACAAGTGTGTGCTGCAAGGGCTTTTGTAAATCACAGTTCTTGAACATGCTTGCCCGCCCAGTCCTGACACCTGGCCTGTCTTGGGTCCGTGTCTGTCCCCAGCTCTTTCGACTCTGGGCACACTTCCCCGCCGAGTGGCCCTGTGGTAGTCTGGGACGTTATGGGCGGTTCGTTAAGTTTCCCTTCTCCTCGAGGACACTGAGCTCTGGCCTACCAGGTGGTCACCGCGAGACCATTCTGGGCGCCGGCCGCCTCGGCCTGGGAGCTGGGCCGTGGCTCCTCCTCCCAAGGGCATGTCTGGGCTGCTCAGTGGGAGTGCGAGCTGCTCACCTTCACCACACTCTGCGGGTCTCACTGAGTCCTCCGATTCGGCGGAGCTTGAATGAGAGCGCGGACCCCAGAGCCACGCTCACCTCCCAGCCCCCAGCTCGCCCTGTGCCACTCAATGTGGCCCTGCCACGCACAAGGCTGCCTTTCGGAGCTTGGGCGGCGGGCGCGCGTTTCAGGAACGCCGGCCCCGCCTTTGCAGGCCTCCTCCTCACACCCCAGCGGTCTTGACAGACCCTGGCCTGGCCCCGCAGCCGGGGGCCTGACCCTCCACTGCCGGGTTCGTTCCTCCTGCACCCCACGGACCGTGGGCTGGGGGAGCTGCCAGAGGAAAAGCGGGGGGGAACGCAGGTTTCCTAGGCTGCTTTCCTGTTTTCGAGACCGTGTCCCTTCCTGCTCCGGCTTCTGTCTCCTTTCTGCTGCCCTCCAGAGCCTCTGCTGTTGTGCAGAGTCTTGTTAGCCCAGGCGAGAGGGCGGGTGTGATAAGTCACCCCGCCAGCACTTGGGCCGATCAAGATCGCAGGCATAAAGGAGGCTTTCAGGGCGCCCCGCTTCCCGCGGGGCGGCGGCGGGCACAGAGTGTGCCGAGCCAGCGCCCCGCGCCTGAGCCGCTGCCCTCGAGACTGCCAGCGCCTGGACCAGGGCACGGCACCGCAGTGGCTCGCCGACACGTAGCACGTCACTCGCTCTGTGCCACAGGCGCCGTCTCGGGCTGTGCCAGGCGCCGCACAGACGGCCGACAGCTTCCTCGCTGGCTGTCTCCTGTTGGCGGTCAGCGCCCTGAGGTCGTCCGAGGAAACAGGCCCCCTTTTGGTCCTCCGAGTCTTGACACGGGGTCTCCTGGAGCCCGGGTGGTGGTGCGCCCCAAAGAAAGTCGTGCCGACTGCACAGGCCCCTTTGATCGCTTTCGCTAAGTGCAGGCAGTGCGGCTCACCGGGGCTTGAGGGCAGAGAAGCACTGGGCAGGCGCCGGCCGCGAAGTCGTGGGCCCTCCTGGCGGGGACGGCACCTGCTGGCCGGGCCCCTCCAGAGTGCCGCGTGGAATGCGGGTTCGGCCTGCGCCCTGGTTCTCCCTCCGGGCCCCAGGCTGACGAGCGCCCTGACGTGCTCAGCACCGCTCCCAGGGCAGTGATGTGCAATGTGATTCTTCAGGAGTCGTTAATGATGGGTCATTTCTCGCCCGCTGCTTCCAGTTGCTGCTTTGAGGAGAGAACCCAAGTCTGGTCGTAGTTGCTGTTGTCAGTATTGTTAGCGCATCGTCCCGCGCTTGGAGCGGTCATGAAATAATCTTGAGTTCATCGCCTGCACTTCTGTTTAAACACATTACATGTACACGTTACCTCATTCTTCCTTGCACGCTTTGTCCGCTCAGGTGTGGTGCCGGCGAATCCCCCGCCAGTCAGTTCCCCCAGCACTGGCACCACGATGCCTTGTCCCTCCCCCACACCCCCACCCCCATTTTAATCCCTTTCCCTGCAGGATGTCCTGACCTATGGTTGCTGTCAATTTTGCTTTTAAATTTTTTATATTTTTCCTGATCCCTTATTTGTTTCCCCTACATTTCTTCTATAAGTGAAACCATCCTAATAGTTTTCTTTTTCCTTCTGGCTTATTTCACTGAGCAGAATCCCTTCCAGCGCCGGCCACGTTGCTGCGAGAGGCATGCATTCACCTTTTTGGAGGCTGCATAGTATTCCACCGTGTGTATGCACCACATCTTCTTGATCCAGTCGTCTGTTTTGGGGCATTTGGGGTGTTTCCCTATCTCACCTATTGTAAGCAATGTTGCAGTAAACATAGAGGTGCAGG